TGTTTGCTATAGGTATATCAGCAACACACCTAACACTTGTTTCGAGGTACATCACTGTTTGCTATAGGTATATCAGCAACACACCTAACACTTGTTTCGAGGTACATCAAATGTTTTGCTATAGGTATATCAGCAACACACCTAACACTTGTTTCGGAGGTACATCACTGTTTGCTATAGGTATATCAGAAACACACCTAACACTTGTTTCGGAGGTACATCACTGTTTGCTATAGGTATATCAGAAACACACCTAACACTTGTTTCGGAGGTACATCACTGTTTGCTATAGGTATATCAGCAACACACCTAACACTTGTTTCGGAGGTACATCACTGTTTGCTATAGGTATATCAGCAACACACCTAACACTTGTTTCGGTACATACATCACTGTTTGCTATAGGTATATCAGAAACACACCTAACACTTGTTTCGGAGGTACATCACTGTTTGCTATAGGTATATCAGCAACACACCTAACACTTGTTTCGGAGGTACATCACTGTTTGCTATAGGTATATCAGCAACACACCTAACACTTGTTTCGGAGGTACATCACTGTTTGCTATAGGTATATCAGAAACACACCTAACACTTGTTTCGGAGGTACATCACTGTTTGCTATAGGTATATCAGAAACACACCTAACACTTGTTTCGGAGGTACATCACTGTTTGCTATAGGTATATCAGCAACACACCTAACACTTGTTTCGGAGGTACATCACTGTTTGCTATAGGTATATCAGCAACACACCTAACACTTGTTTCGGAGGTACATCACTGTTTGCTATAGGTATATCAGCAACACACCTAACACTTGTTTCGGAGGTACATCACTGTTTGCTATAGGTATATCAGCAACACACCTAACACTTGTTTCGGAGGTACATCACTGTTTGCTATAGGTATATCAGAAACACACCTAACACTTGTTTCGGAGGTACATCACTGTTTGCTATAGGTATATCAGAAACACACCTAACACTTGTTTCGAGGTACATCAAATGTTTTTGCTATAGGTATATCAGCAACACACCTAACACTTGTTTCGGTACATACATCACTGTTTGCTATAGGTATATCAGAAACACACCTAACACTTGTTTCGGAGGTACATCAAATCACTGTTTGCTATAGGTATATCAGCAACACACCTAACACTTGTTTCGGAGGTACATCAAATCACTGTTTGCTATAGGTATATCAGCAACACACCTAACACTTGTTTCGGAGGTACATCACTGTTTGCTATAGGTATATCAGAAACACACCTAACACTTGTTTCGGAGGTACATCACTGTTTGCTATAGGTATATCAGAAACACACCTAACACTTGTTTCGGAGGTACATCACTGTTTGCTATAGGTATATCAGCAACACACCTAACACTTGTTTCGGAGGTACATCACTGTTTGCTATAGGTATATCAGAAACACACCTAACACTTGTTTCGGAGGTACATCACTGTTTGCTATAGGTATATCAGCAACACACCTAACACTTGTTTCGGAGGTACATCAAATCACTGTTTGCTATAGGTATATCAGCAACACACCTAACACTTGTTTCGGAGGTACATCACTGTTTGCTATAGGTATATCAGAAACAGCAACACACCTAACACTTGTTTCGGAGGTACATCACTGTTTGCTATAGGTATATCAGCAACACACCTAACACTTGTTTCGGAGGTACATCAAATAACAGTTTGCTATAGGTATATCAGCAACACACCTAACACTTGTTTCGGAGGTACATCACTGTTTGCTATAGGTATATCAGAAACACACCTAACACTTGTTTCGGAGGTACATCACTGTTTGCTATAGGTATATCAGCAACACACCTAACACTTGTTTCGGAGGTACATCAAATAACAGTTTGCTATAGGTATATCAGCAACACACCTAACACTTGTTTCGGTACATCATCACTGTTTGCTATAGGTATATCAGCAACACACCTAACACTTGTTTCGGAGGTACATCACTGTTTGCTATAGGTATATCAGAAACACACCTAACACTTGTTTCGGAGGTACATCACTGTTTGCTATAGGTATATCAGCAACACACCTAACACTTGTTTCGGAGGTACATCACTGTTTGCTATAGGTATATCAGCAACACACCTAACACTTGTTTCGGAGGTACATCACTGTTTGCTATAGGTATATCAGCAACACACCTAACACTTGTTTTGGAGGTACATCACTGTTTGCTATAGGTATATCAGAAACACACCTAACACTTGTTTCGGAGGTACATCACTGTTTGCTATAGGTATATCAGAAACACACCTAACACTTGTTTCGGAGGTACATCACTGTTTGCTATAGGTATATCAGCAACACACCTAACACTTGTTTCGGAGGTACATCACTGTTTGCTATAGGTATATCAGCAACACACCTAACACTTGTTTCGGAGGTACATCACTGTTTGCTATAGGTATATCAGAAACACACCTAACACTTGTTTCGGAGGTACATCAAATAACTGTTTGCTATAGGTATATCAGCAACACACCTAACACTTGTTTCGGAGGTACATCACTGTTTGCTATAGGTATATCAGCAACACACCTAACACTTGTTTCGGAGGTACATCACTGTTTGCTATAGGTATATCAGAAACACACCTAACACTTGTTTCGAGGTACATCAAATCAGTTTGCTATAGGTATATCAGCAACACACCTAACACTTGTTTCGGAGGTACATCACTGTTTGCTATAGGTATATCAGCAACACACCTAACACTTGTTTCGGAGGTACATCACTGTTTGCTATAGGTATATCAGCAACACACCTAACACTTGTTTCGAGGTACATCACTGTTTGCTATAGGTATATCAGCAACACACCTAACACTTGTTTCGAGGTACATCACTGTTTGCTATAGGTATATCAGCAACACACCTAACACTTGTTTCGGAGGTACATCACTGTTTGCTATAGGTATATCAGCAACACACCTAACACTTGTTTCGGAGGTACATCAAATAACTGTTTGCTATAGGTATATCAGCAACACACCTAACACTTGTTTCGGAGGTACATCACTGTTTGCTATAGGTATATCAGCAACACACCTAACACTTGTTTCGGAGGTACATCACTGTTTGCTATAGGTATATCAGAAACACACCTAACACTTGTTTCGGAGGTACATCACTGTTTGCTATAGGTATATCAGAAACACACCTAACACTTGTTTCGGAGGTACATCACTGTTTGCTATAGGTATATCAGCAACACACCTAACACTTGTTTCGGAGGTACATCAAATGTTTTGCTATAGGTATATCAGCAACACACCTAACACTTGTTTCGAGGTACATCACTGTTTGCTATATAGGTATATCAGCAACACACCTAACACTTGTTTCGGAGGTACATCAAATCACTGTTTGCTATAGGTATATCAGCAACACACCTAACACTTGTTTCTGAGGTACATCAAATCACTGTTTGCTATAGGTATATCAGCAACACACCTAACACTTGTTTCGGAGGTACATCACTGTTTGCTATAGGTATATCAGCAACACACCTAACACTTGTTTCGGAGGTACATCACTGTTTGCTATAGGTATATCAGCAACACACCTAACACTTGTTTCGGAGGTACATCAAATCACTGTTTGCTATAGGTATATCAGCAACACACCTAACACTTGTTTCGGAGGTACATCACTGTTTGCTATAGGTATATCAGCAACACACCTAACACTTGTTTCGGAGGTACATCACTGTTTGCTATAGGTATATCAGCAACACACCTAACACTTGTTTCGGAGGTACATCACTGTTTGCTATAGGTATATCAGCAACACACCTAACACTTGTTTCGGAGGTACATCACTGTTTGCTATAGGTATATCAGCAACACACCTAACACTTGTTTCGGAGGTACATCAAATCACTGTTTGCTATAGGTATATCAGCAACACACCTAACACTTGTTTCGGAGGTACATCACTGTTTGCTATAGGTATATCAGCAAACACACCTAACACTTGTTTCGAGGTACATCACTGTTTGCTATAGGTATATCAGCAACACACCTAACACTTGTTTCGGAGGTACATCACTGTTTGCTATAGGTATATCAGAAACACACCTAACACTTGTTTCGGAGGTACATCACTGTTTGCTATAGGTATATCAGCAACACACCTAACACTTGTTTCGAGGTACATCACTGTTTGCTATAGGTATATCAGCAACACACCTAACACTTGTTTCGGAGGTACATCACTGTTTGCTATAGGTATATCAGCAACACACCTAACACTTGTTTCTGAGGTACATCACTGTTTGCTATAGGTATATCAGCAACACACCTAACACTTGTTTCGGAGGTACATCACTGTTTGCTATAGGTATATCAGCAACACACCTAACACTTGTTTCGAGGTACATCACTGTTTGCTATAGGTATATCAGCAACACACCTAACACTTGTTTCGGAGGTACATCACTGTTTGCTATAGGTATATCAGAAACACACCTAACACTTGTTTCGAGGTACATCACTGTTTGCTATAGGTATATCAGCAACACACCTAACACTTGTTTCGGAGGTACATCACTGTTTGCTATAGGTATATCAGCAACACACCTAACACTTGTTTCGAGGTACATACATCACTGTTTGCTATAGGTATATCAGCAACACACCTAACACTTGTTTCGAGGTACATCACTGTTTGCTATAGGTATATCAGCAACACACCTAACACTTGTTTCGAGGTACATCACTGTTTGCTATAGGTATATCAGAAACACACCTAACACTTGTTTCGAGGTACATCACTGTTTGCTATAGGTATATCAGAAACACACCTAACACTTGTTTCGGAGGTACATCACTGTTTGCTATAGGTATATCAGAACACACCTAACACTTGTTTGGTACATCACTGTTTGCTATAGGTATATCAGCAACACACCTAACACTTGCTATAGGTATATCAGCAACACACACTAACACTTGTTTCGGAGGTACATCACTGTTTGCTATAGGTATATCAGCAACACACCTAACACTTGTTTCGGAGGTACATCAAATCACTGTTTGCTATAGGTATATCAGCAACACACCTAACACTTGTTTCGGAGGTACATCACTGTTTGCTATAGGTATATCAGCAACACACCTAACACTTGTTTCGGAGGTACATCAAATCACTGTTTGCTATAGGTATATCAGCAACACACCTAACACTTGTTTCGGAGGTACATCACTGTTTGCTATAGGTATATCAGCAAACACACCTAACACTTGTTTCGGAGGTACATCACTGTTTGCTATAGGTATATCAGCAACACACCTAACACTTGTTTCGGAGGTACATCACTGTTTGCTATAGGTATATCAGCAACACACCTAACACTTGTTTCGGAGGTACATCACTGTTTGCTATAGGTATATCAGCAACACACCTAACACTTGTTTCGAGGTACATCACTGTTTGCTATAGGTATATCAGCAACACACCTAACACTTGTTTGAGGTACATCAAATAACTGTTTGCTATAGGTATATCAGAAACACACCTAACACTTGTTTCGAGGTACATCAAATCACTGTTTGCTATAGGTATATCAGCAACACACCTAACACTTGTTTCGAGGTACATCACTGTTTGCTATAGGTATATCAGCAACACACCTAACACTTGTTTCGAGGTACATCACTGTTTGCTATAGGTATATCAGCAAACACACCTAACACTTGTTTCGAGGTACATCACTGTTTGCTATAGGTATATCAGCAACACACCTAACACTTGTTTCGGAGGTACATCACTGTTTGCTATAGGTATATCAGAAACACACCTAACACTTGTTTCGAGGTACATCACTGTTTGCTATAGGTATATCAGCAACACACCTAACACTTGTTTCGAGGTACATCACTGTTTGCTATAGGTATATCAGCAACACACCTAACACTTGTTTCGAGGTACATCACTGTTTGCTATAGGTATATCAGCAACACACCTAACACTTGTTTCGAGGTACATCACTGTTTGCTATAGGTATATCAGCAACACACCTAACACTTGTTTCGAGGTACATCACTGTTTGCTATAGGTATATCAGCAACACACCTAACACTTGTTTCGGAGGTACATCACTGTTTGCTATAGGTATATCAGAAACACACCTAACACTTGTTTCGAGGTACATCACTGTTTGCTATAGGTATATCAGCAACACACCTAACACTTGTTTCGAGGTACATCACTGTTTGCTATAGGTATATCAGCAACACACCTAACACTTGTTTCGAGGTACATCACTGTTTGCTATAGGTATATCAGCAACACACCTAACACTTGTTTCGAGGTACATCAAATCACTGTTTGCTATAGGTATATCAGCAACACACCTAACACTTGTTTCGAGGTACATCACTGTTTGCTATAGGTATATCAGCAACACACCTAACACTTGTTTCGAGGTACACATCACTGTTTGCTATAGGTATATCAGCAACACACCTAACACTTGTTTCGAGGTACATCACTGTTTGCTATAGGTATATCAGCAACACACCTAACACTTGTTTCGAGGTACATCACTGTTTGCTATAGGTATATCAGCAACACACACCTAACACTTGTTTCGGAGGTACATCACTGTTTGCTATAGGTATATCAGCAACACACCTAACACTTGTTTCGGAGGTACATCACTGTTTGCTATAGGTATATCAGAAACACACCTAACACTTGTTTCGGAGGTACATCACTGTTTGCTATAGGTATATCAGCAACACACCTAACACTTGTTTCGGAGGTACATCACTGTTTGCTATAGGTATATCAGCAACACACCTAACACTTGTTTCGGAGGTACATCACTGTTTGCTATAGGTATATCAGCAACACACCTAACACTTGTTTCGGAGGTACATCAAATCACTGTTTGCTATAGGTATATCAGCAACACACCTAACACTTGTTTCTCGAGGTACATCACTGTTTGCTATAGGTATATCAGCAACACACCTAACACTTGTTTCGGAGGTACATCACTGTTTGCTATAGGTATATCAGCAACACACCTAACACTTGTTTCGGAGGTACATCACTGTTTGCTATAGGTATATCAGAAACACACCTAACACTTGTTTCGGAGGTACATCACTGTTTGCTATAGGTATATCAGCAACACACCTAACACTTGTTTCGAGGGTACATCACTGTTTGCTATAGGTATATCAGCAACACACCTAACACTTGTTTCGGAGGTACATCACTGTTTGCTATAGGTATATCAGCAACACACCTAACACTTGTTTCGGAGGTACATCACTGTTTGCTATAGGTATATCAGCAACACACCTAACACTTGTTTCGGAGGTACATCACTGTTTGCTATAGGTATATCAGCAACACACCTAACACTTGTTTCGGAGGTACATCACTGTTTGCTATAGGTATATCAGCAACACACCTAACACTTGTTTCGGAGGTACATCACTGTTTGCTATAGGTATATCAGCAACACACCTAACACTTGTTTCGGAGGTACATCACTGTTTGCTATAGGTATATCAGCAACACACCTAACACTTGTTTCGGAGGTACATCACTGTTTGCTATAGGTATATCAGCAACACACCTAACACTTGTTTCGGAGGTACATCACTGTTTGCTATAGGTATATCAGCAACACACCTAACACTTGTTTCGGAGGTACATCACTGTTTGCTATAGGTATATCAGCAACACACCTAACACTTGTTTCGGAGGTACATCACTGTTTGCTATAGGTATATCAGCAACACACCTAACACTTGTTTCGGAGGTACATCAAATCACTGTTTGCTATAGGTATATATCAGCAACACACCTAACACTTGTTTCGAGGTACATCACTGTTTGCTATAGGTATATCAGCAACACACCTAACACTTGTTTCGAGGTACATCAAATCTGTTTGCTATAGGTATATCAGCAACACACCTAACACTTGTTTCGAGGTACATCACTGTTTGCTATAGGTATATCAGCAACACACCTAACACTTGTTTCGAGGTACATCACTGTTTGCTATAGGTATATCAGCAACACACCTAACACTTGTTTCGAGGTACATCACTGTTTTGCTATAGGTATATCAGCAACACACCTAACACTTGTTTCGAGGTACATCACTGTTTGCTATAGGTATATCAGCAAACACACCTAACACTTGTTTCGAGGTACATCACTGTTTGCTATAGGTATATCAGCAACACACCTAACACTTGTTTCGAGGTACATCACTGTTTGCTATAGGTATATCAGAAACACACCTAACACTTGTTTCGAGGTACATCACTGTTTGCTATAGGTATATCAGCAACACACCTAACACTTGTTTCGAGGTACATCAAATCACTGTTTGCTATAGGTATATCAGCAACACACCTAACACTTGTTTCGAGGTACATCACTGTTTGCTATAGGTATATCAGCAACACACCTAACACTTGTTTCGAGGTACATCACTGTTTGCTATAGGTATATCAGCAACACACCTAACACTTGTTTCGAGGTACATCACTGTTTGCTATAGGTATATCAGCAACACACCTAACACTTGTTTCGAGGTACATCACTGTTTGCTATAGGTATATCAGCAACACACCTAACACTTGTTTCGAGGTACATCACTGTTTGCTATAGGTATATCAGCAACACACCTAACACTTGTTTCGGAGGTACATCACTGTTTGCTATAGGTATATCAGAAACACACCTAACACTTGTTTCGGAGGTACATCACTGTTTGCTATAGGTATATCAGCAACACACCTAACACTTGTTTCGGAGGTACATCACTGTTTGCTATAGGTATATCAGCAACACACCTAACACTTGTTTCGGAGGTACATCACTGTTTGCTATAGGTATATCAGCAACACACCTAACACTTGTTTCGGAGGTACATCACTGTTTGCTATAGGTATATCAGCAACACACCTAACACTTGTTTCGGAGGTACATCACTGTTTGCTATAGGTATATCAGCAACACACCTAACACTTGTTTCGGAGGTACATCACTGTTTGCTATAGGTATATCAGCAACACACCTAACACTTGTTTCGGAGGTACATCAAATCACTGTTTGCTATAGGTATATCAGCAACACACCTAACACTTGTTTCGGAGGTACATCAAATCACTGTTTGCTATAGGTATATCATCAGCAACACACCTAACACTTGTTTCGGAGGTACATCACTGTTTGCTATAGGTATATCAGCAACACACCTAACACTTGTTTCGGAGGTACATCAAATCACTGTTTGCTGTAGGTATATCAGCAACACACCTAAATCTTGTTTCGGAGGTACATCACTGTTTGCTATAGGTATATCAGCAACACACCTAACACTTGTTTCGGAGGTACATCACTGTTTGCTATAGGTATATCAGCAACACACCTAACACTTGTTTCGGAGGTACATCACTGTTTGCTATAGGTATATCAGCAACACACCTAACACTTGTTTCGGAGGTACATCACTGTTTGCTATAGGTATATCAGCAACACACCTAACACTTGTTTCGGAGGTACATCACTGTTTGCTATAGGTATATCAGCAACACACCTAACACTTGTTTCGAGGTACATCACTGTTTGCTATAGGTATATCAGCAACACACCTAACACTTGTTTCGAGGTACATCACTGTTTGCTATAGGTATATCAGCAACACACCTAACACTTGTTTCGGAGGTACATCAAATCACTGTTTGCTATAGGTATATCAGCAACACACCTAACACTTGTTTCGGAGGTACATGACTGTTTGCTATAGGTATATCAGCAACACACCTAACACTTGTTTCGGAGGTACATCACTGTTTGCTATAGGTATATCAGCAACACACCTAACACTTGTTTCGGAGGTACATCACTGTTTGCTATAGGATATCAGCAACACACCTAACACTTGTTTCGAGGTACATCACTGTTTGCTATAGGTATATCAGCAACACACCTAACACTTGTTTCGGAGGTACATCACTGTTTGCTATAGGTATATCAGCAACACACCTAACACTTGTTTCGGAGGTACATCACTGTTTGCTATAGGTATATCAGCAACACACCTAACACTTGTTTCGGAGGTACATCACTGTTTGCTATAGGTATATCAGCAACACACCTAACACTTGTTTCGGAGGTACATCACTGTTTGCTATAGGTATATCAGCAACACACCTAACACTTGTTTCGGAGGTACATCACTGTTTGCTATAGGTATATCAGCAACACACCTAACACTTGTTTCGGAGGTACATCAAATCACTGTTTGCTATAGGTATATCAGCAACACACCTAACACTTGTTTCGGAGGTACATCAAATCACTGTTTGCTGTAGGTATATCAGCAACACACCTAACACTTGTTTCGGAGGTACATCACTGTTTGCTATAGGTATATCAGAAACACACCTAACACTTGTTTCGGAGGTACATCACTGTTTGCTATAGGTATATCAGCAACACACCTAACACTTGTTTCGGAGGTACATCAAATCACTGTTTGCTATAGGTATATCAGCAACACACCTAAAAATCTTTTGCTGTAGTTTCGAGGTACATCACTGTTTGCTATAGGTATATCAGCAACACACCTAACACTTGTTTCGGAGGTACATCACTGTTTGCTATAGGTATATCAGAAACACACCTAACACTTGTTTCGGAGGTACATCAAATCACTGTTTGCTGTAGGTATATCAGCAACACACCTAACACTTGTTTCGGAGGTACATCACTGTTTGCTATAGGTATATCAGAAACACACCTAACACTTGTTTCGGAGGTACATCACTGTTTGCTATAGGTATATCAGCAACACACCTAACACTTGTTTCGGAGGTACATCACTGTTTGCTATAGGTATATCATCAGAAACACACCTAACACTTGTTTCGGAGGTACATCACTGTTTGCTATAGGTATATCAGCAACACACCTAAATCTTGTTTCGGAGGTACATCACTGTTTGCTATAGGTATATCAGCAACACACCTAACTCTTGTTTCGGAGGTACATGACTGTTTGCTATAGGTATATCAGCAACACACCTAACACTTGTTTCGGAGGTACATCACTGTTTGCTATAGGTATATCAGCAACACACCTAACACTTGTTTCGGAGGTACATCACTGTTTGCTATAGGTATATCAGCAACACACCTAAATCTTGTTTCGGAGGTACATCACTGTTTGCTATAGGTATATCAGCAACACACCTAACACTTGTTTCGGAGGTACATCAAATCACTGTTTGCTGTAGGTATATCAGCAACACACCTAACTCTTGTTTCGGAGGTACATCAAATCACTGTTTGCTATAGGTATATCAGCAACACACCTAAATCTTGTTTCGGAGGTACATCACTGTTTGCTATAGGTATATCAGCAACACACCTAACACTTGTTTCGGAGGTACATCAAATCACTGTTTGCTGTAGGTATATCAGCAACACACCTAAATCTTGTTTCGGAGGTACATCACTGTTTGCTATAGGTATATCAGCAACACACCTAACACTTGTTTCGGAGGTACATCACTGTTTGCTATAGGTATATCAGAAACACACCTAACACTTGTTTCGGAGGTACATCAAATCACTGTTTGCTGTAGGTATATCAGCAACACACCTAACACTTGTTTCGGAGGTACATCACTGTTTGCTATAGGTATATCAGCAACACACCTAACACTTGTTTCGGAGGTACATCACTGTTTGCTATAGGTATATCAGCAACACACCTAAATCTTGTTTCGGAGGTACATGACTGTTTGCTATAGGTATATCAGAAACACACCTAACACTTGTTTCGGAGGTACATCACTGTTTGCTATAGGTATATCAGCAACACACCTAACACTTGTTTCGGAGGTACATCACTGTTTGCTAAGGATATCAGCAACACACCTAACACTTGTTTCGGAGGTACATGACTGTTTGCTATAGGTATATCAGCAACACACCTAACACTTGTTTCGGAGGTACATCACTGTTTGCTATAGGTATATCAGCAACACACCTAACACTTGTTTCGGAGGTACATCACTGTTTGCTAAGGATATCAGCAACACACCTAACACTTGTTTCGGAGGTACATGACTGTTTGCTATAGGTATATCAGCAACACACCTAACACTTGTTTCGGAGGTACATCACTGTTTGCTATAGGTATATCAGCAACACACCTAACACTTGTTCCGGAGGTACATCAAATAACTGTTTGCTATAGGTGTATCAGCAACAGACCTAACATTTGTTGTGGCAGGTGCCGTGTCAGTGCTTTGTGCGTTGAGACCTCTATGTCTCTATGTTAGGGAGAGCCTCTGGGCATGCATACAACTGGTATGCTGCAATATGCATGTGAAACAATATACATAGTAATATTATTTCTGTATTGCCATATATATGGTTAAAACAGTTGTAACAAGTTTTTTTATGATTTCATTGTTAAAATCTACAACAAAATTTAATCTGCAATGTTTCCTTTTCAAAATTGATTCACAAAACAGCAGAAAAGTGGAAGTGATTTTTCTCTCCTGTTGCTATCTCCCCTGTGTTCATGACAAAATGGCAACACTTGACTGTCAAAACACTTTACCTACACTATAGCAATAAAAATGTATACCAATGCACATCCCTAATGTTACAGGATCTGTGTTAACAGCTCCCAACAGTCCAGTTGACACAATGACAAGCGCCTCGTATAGAAAGAAGCTTGGATTCAGTCATCGCTCCAGCTCTCTCGAGATTGAGGAACGGAAACATCGAAGTCATACTCCTTCTCCTCTCCAATCACCGGTCAGCAAATTTAAATCAATAACAAACTGTACATGTGTCACATCTATACCCCTGCTCCATTCAGTAACAGACTGTACATGTGTGTCACATCTATACCCCTGCTCCATTCAGTAACAGACTGTACATGTGTGTCACATCTATACCCTCTATTCAGTAACCTACCCCCTGCTCCATTCAGTAACAGACTGTACATGTGTGTCACATCTATACCCCTGCTCCATTCAGTAACAGACTGTACATGTGTGTCACATCTATACCCCCACTCCATTCAGTAACAGACTGTACATGTGTGTCACATCTATACCCCAACTCCATTCAGTAACAGACTGTACATGTGTCACATCTATACCCCCACTCCATTCAGTAACAGACTGTACATGTGTCACATCTATTCAGTAACAGCTATACCCCCACTCCATTCAGGAACAGACTGTACATGTGTCACATCTATACCCGAACTCCATTCAGGAACAGACTGTACATGTGTCACATCTATACCCCGCTCCTCTCAGTAACAGACTGTACATGTGTGTCACATCTATACCCCGCTCCATTACCAGAACTCCATTCAGTAACAGACTGTACATGTGTCACATCTATGCCCCAACTCCATTCAGTAACAGACTGTACATGTGTGTCACATCTATACCATCTATACACTCATTAACAGTCTGAATATACACACACAACACTCATTGTCAGTATCAATATGTGTCCCATACCATTGCCAGGACTCATCTGAGAAGTCTCTGTATATGTGTGTACTGATATCCTGGCCTCAAAGTGTACTGGAATCGTTTGAAGCAGTATCTTGTTCCTCTGTCCTTCCAGAAATCAAAGAGGAAAGACACAGATGTGTATGTGGTGCTATACAACTTCAAAGGAAAAGAGAAAGATGACATGGATCTTAGGTAGATCAATACTATTTGTGCTTCAATCATGCAGGTGTATCTGCTGCATACAGACAGGTATCTGCTGCATACAGACAGGTATCTGCTGCATACAGACAGGTATCTGCTGCATACAGACAGGTATCTGCTGCATACAGACAGGTATCTGCTGCATACAGACAGGTATCTACTGCATACAGACTGGTATCTACTGCATACAGACTGGTATCTACTGCATACAGACTGGTATCTACTGCATACCGACTGGTATCTACTGCATACCGACTGGTATCTACTGTATACAGACTGGTATCTACTGTATACAGACTGGTATCTACTGTATACAGACAGGTATCTACTGTATACAGACAGGTATCTACTGTATACAGACTGGTATCTACTGTATGCCCGGTATCTACTGTATACAGTCAGGTATCTGCGGCATATAGACTGATATCTGCGGCATATAGACTGATATCTACTGTATACAGACAGGTATCTACTGTATGCCCAATATCTACTGTATACAGACTGGTATCTAATGTATGCCCGGTATCTACTGTATACAGACAGGTATCTGCTTGTATATAGACTGATATCTACTGTATACAGACAGGTATCTACTGTATACAGACTGGTATCTACTGTATACAGACTGGTATCTACTGTATGCCCAATATCTACTGTATACAGACTGGTATCTACTGTATGCCCAATATCTACTGTATACAGACTGGTATCTGCTGTATACAGACTGGTATCTGCTGTATACAGACTGGTATCTACTGTATACAGACTGGTATCTACTGTATACAGACTGGTATCTACTGTATGCCCAATATCTACTGTATACAGACTGGTATCTGCTGTATACAGACTGGTATCTAATGTATACAGACTGGTATCTACTGTATGCCCAATAGCTACTGTATACAGACTGGTATCTACTGTATGCCCAATATCTACTGTATACAGACTGGTATCTGCTGTATACAGACTGGTATCTACTGTATACAGACTGGTATCTACTGTATACAGACTGGTATCTACTGTATACAGACTGGTATCTACTGTATACAGACTGGTATCTACTGTATACCCAGTATCTACTGTATACAGACTGGTATCTACTGTATGCCCAATATCTGCTGTATACAGACTGGTATCTACTGTATGCCCAGTATCTACTGTATACAGACTGGTATCTACTGTATGCCCAATATCTACTGTATACAGACTGGTATCTGCTGTATACAGACTGGTATCTACTGTATACAGACTGGTATCTACTGTATACAGACTGGTATCTACTGTATGCCCAATATCTACTGTATACAGACTGGTATCTGCTGTATACAGACTGGTATCTAATGTATACAGACTGGTATCTACTGTATGCCCAATAGCTACTGCATACAGACTGGTATCTACTGTATGCCCAATATCTACTGTATACAGACTGGTATCTGCTGTATACAGACTGGTATCTACTGTATACAGACTGGTATCTACTGTATACAGACTGGTATCTACTGTATACAGACTGGTATCTACTGTATACAGACTGGTATCTACTGTATACAGACTGGTATCTACTGTATACAGACTGGTATCTACTGTATGCCCAATATCTGCTGTATACAGACTGGTATCTACTGTGTGCCCAATATCTGCTGTATACAGACTGGTATCTACTATAGACAGACTGGTATCTACTGTATACAGACTGGTATCTACTGTATGCCCAATATCTGCTGTATATAGACTGGTATCTACTGTATGCCCAATATCTGCTGTATACAGACTGGTATCTACTATAGACAGACTGGTATCTACTGTATACCCGGTATCTGCGGTATATAGACTGGTATCTACTGTATACAGACTGGTATCTACTGTATACAGACTGGTATCTTCTGTAATCATACTGGTATCTACTGTATGCACGGTATCTACTGTATACATTGATGAGTCTAAAGCATGCGTACAGGTGATTACATTGTACAGGCATTTTCGGGTTAATTATAGACATCTTTGTTAAGTGGGATCACATGGACTTTAGTCTCATGCTTGGACACATTTCTAAATATAGAAATAAATCTTGACATATTTCATGTACTGTATAAAAGGTATGAAATCTTACACACATTAACATGTTTATCAACAGGGCAGGATGGAAAGTTAGTCTCATCAACAGCTCAGATCCTGATTGGTGGAAGGTAAGTGGAGAACAGCAGTGCATTTCCACAAGTATTGAGATTATAGTTGTGGTGCCTACAACAATCCCAGATGCACTGAGAATATAGTTGTGCCTACGGTCCATTTCATTTCATTTGAGGCCGATGAATTGCTCACTAACACAAAATCTAATAATTGCAACAAAACCAAATTTTGCACAGCCACATGAAATCGACAGACCAACTCTGATGATTTGTCTCACAATTTTGGACACCTGAATAAAAAAGTTCTTTAACAAACAATCATTATTTTGTTGTCACCTTTTGTTATATTTTTACGAGAGGGGACCACTCAGTCAACAAGCGTGTGTAGTGAAATTTCAATTTCGAACATGCAACGTGCATACCTACTTATTGAACTTTTTATCAGCTATACATGTTAATAGATATTTGATCTTTTATACTGTGAAATTTGGCTACAACAGATCCAGACTTATATGTTATCTCACTTTAAAGTTAGTATACATTTCCTTTTTTGGGAGGGTATAGTTCTGCCTAACACATTCCCAGATACTCCATGAAAAGTATGAATTCCTTGTTCTTTAGGACAGAATCTCTTTGGCAACAGCAATCCAATCCACAAACTGATATCATCGGCTTAGCTTATCTACATCTGATTCCAGCATTTTTTTTAATTACACACATTCATAACTATTGTTAGACATTTCTAAATACTGCTATTATGCTGTGTTCAAATATTTTGCGCATCATATGATGTTCTGGAAAGCTTCTGCCTTTGATCAACTGACCAAATGCTGGCCTGTAGTCAGTCGTATTCAGGCATGAAAGTGGAATTTATTGGGCAGACAGATTTTTTTTTTTTGTTAAAGCTCATATTACATTGTTACACATTTCGTGTTTTCTCTTGTTTGAACTTGATATTCCCAAAATATTCATGTTTTGATGCAGAATATTGTGTTCTGTTGCTTAAAACTGATGCAACAAATTTTTGCATACTTTTGTTTACCCTCTGTCTTATGGATGATTGTTCCAGGGTCGGTGCAATGGGAAAGTCGGCTATTTTCCAGCAACATATGTGCAGCGTCTCATACCAGGGCAGAGGGTCTTCCAGGTGACACACACGATGAACTTAAGTGAAGGAGACAATGGAATGAGACTTCATAAAGACCAGGTGAATTGAAAAGACAGAACTAGATGGTTTTATTGGTTAGAGGCAAAAGTGTTTTTACTAACTAAAGAAACTGAATGAAGGACAAAAGATTGATGAACAACTTACATGGTCGCCAGAAAGACAAGGGGGATCAACAACTGAGGGTATATGAACAACTTACATGGTCGCCAGAAAGACAAGGGGGATCAACAACTGAGGGTATATGAACAACTTACATGGTCGCCAGAAAGACAAGGGGGATCAACAACTGAGGGTATATGAACAACTTACATGGTCGCCAGAAAGACAAGGGGATCAACAACTGAGGGGTATATGAACAACTTACATGGTCGCCAGAAAGACAAGGGGGATCAACAACTGATGGTATATGAACAACTTACATGGTCGCCAGGAAGACAAGGGGGATCAACAACTGAGGGTATATGAACAACTTACATGGTCGCCAGAAAGACAAGGGGGATCAACAACTGAGGGTATATGAACAACTTACATGGTCGCCAGAAAGACAAGGGGGATCAACAACTGAGGGTATATGAACAACTTACATGGTCGCCAGAAAGACAAGGGGGATCAACAACTGAGGGTATATGAACAACTTACATGGTCGCCAGAAAGACAAGGGGGATCAACAACTGAGGGTATATGAACAACTTACATGGTCGCCAGAAAGACAAGGGGGATCAACAACTGAGGGTATATGAACATTTACATGGTCGCCAGGAAGACAAGGGGGATCAACAACTGAGGGTATATGAATAGTTGAGGTGTTTTGTTCAGGAAGACAATGGGGGATCAACAACTGGGGGATATATGAATAGTTTAGGTGTTTTGTTCAGGTAGACAAGGGGGATCAACAACTGAGGGTATATGAACATTTACATGGTCGCCAGGAAAACAAGGGGGATCAACAACTGGGGGTATATGAACAACTTACATGGTCGCCAGAAAGACAAGGGGGATCAACAACTGAGGGTATATGAACAACTTACATGGTCGCCAGGAAGACAAGGGGGATCAACAACTGAGGGTATATGAACAACTTACATGGTCGCCAGAAAGACAAGGGGGATCAACAACTGAGGGTATATGAACAACTTACATGGTCACCAGAAAGACAAGGGGCATCAACAACTGAGGGTATATGAATAGTTGAGGTGTTTTGTTCAGGAAGACAATGGGGGATCAACAACTGGGGGATATATGAATAGTTTAGGTGTTTTGTTCAGGTAGACAAGGGGGATCAACAACTGATGGTATATGAACATTTACATGGTCGCCAGGAAGACAAGGGGGATCAACAACTGGGGGATATATGAATAGTTTAGGTGTTTTGTTCAGGTAGACAAGGGGGATCAACAACTGAGGGTATATGAACATTTACATGGTCGCCAGGAAGACAAGGGGGATCAACAACTGGGGGATGTATGAATAGTTTAGGTGTTTTGTTCAGGGAAACAATGGGGATCAACAACTGGGGGTATATGAACAACTTAAGTGGTCGCCAGGAAGGCAATCCAACGAACCCACCCCATTGGAGTTCATGCAAAATATTATGTATATAATATAATTTAAGCCGGAGGGAAATGTTTAAATTTATGTTATAGTGGCTGGACATTCAAGAACCATGCTCAGCTACAAAACATGGGGCTGAGCACGTTCATATTAAATTTCAGCAAAATAAGTTAGTTAAAGTAACCTGCTAGGCGGCCCAGGACATGCCTTCTGATGACGGGAGTATGTATCAGGGCGTGAAGTGATCTCATAGATGACATCCTTACTTTGTCACCTTGCTGACGGGGTTAACCTCTTTTGTCATGTGAACAAGGTGTCCAACTTCAGATGAGAAGGTCCGTGGTTTCAAATCCCCGCACAGAACTCAGAAATTTTATGGCCACATTGGTGTTCACATGGTGAAGACGCTGCATGGCATGTACAAGTCCATCCAGAAAATCCTGAGTGAATCTGGACTCAACTTGATACTCAACTCCATCGTCAGTTACTGCAATTTAAGCAACATTGGCATGTGACGAAAACATGATGGTTTGTTACTTGTGGTAATCATATGGTCAGAAACTGGTACACCTATTAAGGCTTGACAGAAATCTGTGGCTTCAACCCTTCAATCAAACAATAACACTAAGGTCTCATTGGCTGCTGTGAGATAGCCCTTTAGGGTGAACAAAACACCTAAACTATCAAAAGCAACAAACAGGGAATTGCTCTGGTTCAGGGCTCCTTGAAGCCTCACTTCTGTTTAATCCATCTTGGGCCTTTTCAAATGACCTTAGGCACCATCTGTAAGGCTGATGGTTCAAACTGTCAGAGAAACTGACAAACATTCACCAAATTGGCTACCTCATCATGCTGTAGATGATGGGAGACCGGTGTTCATCACGCTGTAGATGATGGGTGACTGGTGTTCATCACGCTGTAGATGATGGGAGACTGGTGTTCATCATGCTGTAGATGATGGGAGACCGGTGTTCATCACGCTGTAGATGATGGGAGACTGGTGTTCATCACGCTGTAGATGATGGGTGACTGGTGTTCATCACGCTGTAGATGATGGGAGACTGGTGTTCATCACGCTGTAGATGATGGGAGACTGGTGTTCATCACGCTGTAGATGATGGGAAACTGGTGTTCATCATGCTGTAGATGATGGGAGACTGGTGTTCATCACGCTGTAGATGATGGGAGACTGGTGTTCATCACGCTGTAGATGATGGGAGACTGGTGTTCATCACGCTGTAGATGATGGGAGACTGGTGTTCATCACGCTGTAGATGATGGGAAACTGGTGTTCATCACGCTGTAGATGATGGGTGACTGGTGTTCATCACGCTGTAGATGATGGGAGACCGGTGTTCATCATGCTGTAGATGATGGGAGACCGGTGTTCATCATGCTGTAGATGATGGGAGACCGGTGTTCATCATGCTGTATATGATGGGAGACCGGTGTTCATCACGCTGTAGATGATGGGAGACTGGTGTTCATCATGCTGTATATGATGGGAGACCGGTGTTCATCATGCTGTATATGATGGGAGACTGGTGTTCATCATGCTGTAGATGATGGGTGCCAAAATTAAGAATTATTCTTACTCACATGCAAGGAAAGAATTGTATCATCCATGTGTAATGTTTCATGTGTGTTTGGGCGTTAGGTTTTGATTCTGAATTCATTCATTCTCTGACATTTTTCATAGGTGCAATCTCTCCTGATAACTGATTGTAATGTGTATATTTTACTCACAAAAGGAACAGGTGTTTTACCATAATGTGTGCATAGTAAAATAAGTTATAAAGAACAAATGTGCTGATGTCATTTTCTGTTTTTCTTTTAAAATAAATCCACATTACATGAAATCATGATTTTCTGTTTTTCAGATTGTTGTGCAGGCTGGGGAAGAAGTCAGTGGTATGATTCATGTGCAAGCTCCCAACAAGAAGCAGGCTATGTGCCCCCTGAAGTACCTCCAAGAGCTCTGATGCTGTGTGGCCAGCATGGCACTCAGGACAATTACCAATGGTATTCCACAACTTGCCAACATCACAAAGCAAACTTCCAGATCTGCAGGACTGTGTTACACTAACAGATATGCAGGTCTTGTAGTGATGCTTCTATAGACGGGAGCAACCATACAACGAGCAGGGTGTGCTATTCTGCCCATCACCTGATACTCTGACACACACCAGCAGCACCATTCCACAGGGCAGGTGGATTATGTCACTGCATACTCAATGCTTCAAATAATTATTAATTTCAGTGCATAAAAAAGGAGCTGTATGAACTTTCTGAATTTAACCGTGTCACCTGTGTCTTTCTTTGTGACAATGCCAGTGCTCATCACTTCGTTATGGTCAGTGATCAGACGCTGGCTTCATAGTGATCTCATGTGCCCTCTCATCCCTGTGTCCACACTTCACAGGGCACATGTGCAACTCAGAAAACCTGTGTAAGGGGTTCTATATGTACTGCACAGACAGTGTAATGTCCATTTGTTACTTCCTTTTATTGATAGAATCCAGTGTATCTTTAAGGGTTTTCATCAAGCAAGTACATGTACGTTATTATGTAACCTGCGTGTGAGTACATATACAGTAATGTGTACTTGTGTACCTCTGTGTGTGTGTGTGTGTGTGTGTGTGTGCGTGCGTGTGCATGCACGGCGCCGCGCATATGCGTGTGCGCATGTGTGCACACACATATACAGTAATGTGTACCTGTGTGTGTGCAAGTACATATACAGTAATGTGTACCTGTGTGTGTGCCAATACTTCGAGATTACAGTGAGAAGTGAATGTGTGTTGGGATTTGGCAATGTGAATGCATGTGTCAGATCTTTATGAGGAAAACCCCAGTGCTGTGTACATGGATGTTGCATGTGTGTGTTGGAATGTGCATAAGGGTGCTTGTCATTGGTGCACAAAGTTCAGCAGGTCTGACTTGTTTGGAGAGTCAGTCTTGTTCACATGCATTCCTTACTGGTTCCACACTGCTGCCCAACAGCAGCCGCACCTGTCTCACCTGGAGTCTGTAGGCTTAATGATACTACTTATAAGGATACACCCACTGATGTACATTATCAACTATGGTCACAAAACAGTGTGCTGCCAGGCAGTGTTTAAGATGGTCTCAACAAGTTTTGTCAAAATCCTAGATGTATTTCCTCTACACACTGCAGAATCATGTTATGGTGGCTGTGTAATTCATGTGGTAATGACAGTTCATCCTTGTGTCCTCCACTACTTTATCTCATCATCTCTACCTGTCTCTCAGCGACCACTGTAAGTCCATGGGGAAATCTATTCTGTCATTGTACAGTAAATTGAAGAAATTCCTCTTTGATACCACACTTCATAAAGCATGTTTCCGGTGACTAAGTACTGTGCCATGGTGTAAACCTGACTCCTATTCTTTCATCATATTTAAGGTGATATATTACCTTTTTCTTGCATAATTCTGCCACAGACTGCTAAATACCACTACCTCAGTCCACATTAGTTATGTGGAAGTGTATTACTACATTTACTTGCAGTGCAGGCCCAACACTACATGCTTTCCCAGGTGACTTTTGTAACATATGTTTCTGAAGAGCAAATAAGGTATTCTTTCATTGTTTAATGTTGATTTAAATTGTGATGTATGAATCAGTGTGTATCTGCCATTATCTACACTCTTCACTATTGAAACAAACCTTCAGCAATGTTCAGTCTACATGTTCCATAACTTCACTTATAATTGTTACATACTGAAGACTACCATAAGCAGATTCCCCATATTGTATCTTGATTGAACTATTTACATACAGGCCAGTTATTTGCTGCATTGTTGTCAACCATAATTAAAAAATGAAGTTGGCTCTTGCATCCAATGTGTTTGCAGTTAAAATAGTTCAGGGCAAAACCACACAACTCAAGTAGAGTAAACATGATTATTTTTCTAAGATGCCAAATTCAAGAATGACCATTTAAGTACCTACATATAGGTGCCACCAAATGTAAATCCTCAAGTCTAACTGAAGAGCTGTTCCACCTAACTGCATGCACCCTTCCATATATGTTTCAGATATAATAAAAAAAACCTATAATGTTTAATTTAAGTGTAAGTCATTTTTCTATTGTCTGTGATTATCAAACATTCCATGTTACAATAAGTAGGATTTAGATACATTTTTGTGATAATTTGGTTTAGTTCAAACTCAGCACATTGTGGGCCCCAGCTATTGCATGTTAACAGCTGAAGTTTTGAATTGCTCGTTATGCTGAGCAGAGCTGTTGTGCAAGTTAACTACCAGCGAGTCTTGGGGTGCCTAGCATGGCCTATGATTACATGATACTGAGGAAAAGCAGCAGCAGTTGGTTTGTTTGACTGCAGTATAGAGTATCTTTGTGGCTGATGTGCCACAAACAGTGGTTTGGCAGTCATCATCTTGCCATATTTCGTGCAAGGGAATGGTGCTAAACTATTCAACCAGTTGAAACATAGCATTGCACCTGTTAATAAATGGTGTGGAAAGCACCATCTTGATTGAAAAGAATGATGGAACAATATTACGAAGATACGTTAGAGCACAGGGGTTGGGGGAGTTAATTTGAACAGCCTGAATCATGACAACTCAAAGTGTATTTTATGAGAGTGGTGGCTTTGTTCTTTCAGCTGTGCATCTTAGAATCTTCAACGAAGTAATTAAGGGGAACAGTAAATCACTGATATGTGAATGTGTATAACGATGCTGTGTGACCTATTTTCTTTTGATCAGATTTTTTACTTTGCCACCCAAGCTGGCCATGTTAAAAAACATCCATCTGCAGCCATTCTTTTATGTATCAATGGGATATTTGCACATATGTAGTATGCACAAAAACATGATTAATTCTTTTGCATATTGTGACCTTTTACTGCCATTATGTCCTTTCAGCTACATGCACCCCAATAGTGCATGTATAAATGGGAAATCAGCATGTGTTGTGAACGATAACATATGTTACACTCCGGGATATTTTTAACCTTAGTCCCAATCATTGTTAATGAATCTCATACCACTACATTTGTTTGCACCTTGTTAGGAACCACTGGGTCAGTAAAGAATAAAATTATGTCATTGTGGTCAACAGCAGTATTTGTAAGATGTGCTCATACATTTATACTCCACACAATGGTAATGGCAGCCATGTTGGAAATGTCATTGGTATAGCTCACGGGAGAGTTTCTGGCACCATTGTAATCGCCTGCTTGTTATCGCCTTCTGAGCCACCAAACATGAGGACATTTTTCAGCCAATAATGCAACAATATTAGAAAAAGAACATTTATCAATTTAACTTCTTCCATTTTGAAGTGATAATGCCTACAAGTGTATGGACAACTGATTGATGCATCATGACCTGCACTGTAAAAGATGTTACAAAATTACTTCAGAATACATGTGGCCAAGAGGGCGGAAGAGGAAGCTAAACAAATGGCATGAAACCCGAGGCATTCCTGTGTTTATCTGGTGGCGAGTGTCACAGTCGGGTTTAGTTTTCATCATGGTTTTTAATCATATGAATACAGAAATATCTGGCTCAGAGGTGGAACTTTGTTTCAAGAAGGTAAACACTGTTATGGAATGTAATTTGTCATAAAATTCACTGTTGCAGAAACACTTGACATGTAGTTACTTGTTAGCAATTTCCCTATCTTAGTTGATATTTCAAGATTTGACTACTATACAGTGAGATAACCAGTTCCTTAATACTGGTTCTTTGGTGCATATTTGATCATATCACATATGATATATGTCAGTTTGAATTTGTCAGTTGTACTATTTGAAATATGTCCCAGAAGTGTGGGACATGTTATGAATCTTACATCTGGCATTGCCATTTCTCTTCCTGCGAGGGTTGGTAATATTGTCACGGCAACCATTATAGTGAGGAAACTATTTTTTTATCATTTCTTGCATGAATGTTTGTTTGAGTGATTTGATGTGTACATATTGACTGTACATACAATGTGCCACAATTTCTAAGACCTGGCTTTGATAATAATTTTTGTGATACACTATATGATTCATACATTGAGGCATGTTCAAAGTGCTACAATTAACAATATTTGAAATTTGTTTGAAAATTGAAAGAAAGGAAGAATGAACAGAGTGGTTAGTGAACCAGTTCCAGGACATGTAGCTGTAGATGTTTCTACCATTACAGTAAACATATAAGGAATGTTCATTTTATCTCTGAACCTCTTTATTCCAAAATAACAGAGCACAGTGATACAAATGACTTATCAAACATCAATGCTGCTAAGTAGCTTTCAATAATTTACATTTTCTGTCTATGAAAGAGGTAGTCCCCACATAGGTTCAGATGAGGTTTGGCTGTAGAAATTGACATTTAAAAACACAGTTGATTATGACAGTTCTTCACCATCTTAATTTCATATGAATGTAAAATATTGATATGAAAAGGCATATACTTAATTTGTTATTCTAGAGATTTTGATGAAGGCAATTAGTAGCATACACAGCAATATTTTAGCAACAGTGTTGTTTCAAATAGCAGCAGAAATATTTTTAAGTGAAGATTATTGTTTAATAGTCATCAACTGTATGACACACAACTGGGCATACCAGGGTATTTGTGAAGTGGTGATCTAGCTGCATTAACTCTGATGCCACAGTCAACATTTAGGTTAGTGCATAAGCATTGCTGCTCAGCAGCTGCAACTTGGGCATTTAGAGAGACTCAAGACTGTGCCTCCCTGTGCAGGACCATACAAAATAGTGTATTCACTCTTGGCATTTCTAGCAGAAAGTATTCAATGGCCAACATTGTGGTTAGTAGATATTTTTATGGAATTGTTTATGCTGATTGCCAGCCCTTACATGAGAAGACTGAAGAACTCATGTCGTAACAATGTCTGCTCAAATGGACAGTCAGTATGTTGAGTAAACATTGAATGTAAACAATACCTAAAAGCCCCCCAGCTAACTTGGCTGTGCTCACCACCTTATTCCACAAGAGGAGGTAATATTATTTTGTAATCTGGGCTTTGATAAACACTGATCTCTAATCAAATCAAGATGGCAGTAAGTATTTTGTGTAATTCATTCACTTGTGTTGTCTGCTTTGTTGTGCGGAAATAAAGTGCCATGACACTTGGAAATTATTTCATGCATGACAATGTACTGTCCCTTAACTACATTTAATTTCCAGTGTTTTTGCATGGTAGCCGCCAGTATTTATCTATACTAGTACATTAACTACCTCACTGAAAGACTCCAACAGTTTGCCCCCAAGGTTCGATCAGCTGAACATAGACAACTAAACCATTTTCTGGTTAGATGAAGAAACTTATAGACAGTGTTCTGTAAACAACATACAAACAACAACAAACCACTCCTACTGCTAGTAGAGGCACCATGTTTCTGTTTGTCTCTGCTACCTGGATACAAGGATGGTAACAACATAGAGGAGGAAGTAACGCAGCAATAAGTCCCGAAACACAGCTCTATACAGCATCATTATTTGGTACACAATACACACCTTTCTTTCAATACAAAAAAGATGCATAAAAAAGATAAGAAAGGGGCCCCAAACCTCACTGGCAACAGTGACCTGTCACAACATTGTGTGGATCACCTGGCAACAGTGACCTGTCACAACATTGTGTGGATCACCTGGCAACAGTGACCTGTCACAACATTGTGTGGATCACCTGGCAACAGTGACCTGTCACAACATTGTGTGGACCACCTGGCAACAGTGACCTGTCACAACACTGTGTGGATCACCTGGCAACAGTGACCTGTCACAACACTGTGTGGATCACCTGGCAACAGTGACCTGTCACCACATTGTGTGGATCACCTGGCAACAGTGACCTGTCACAACATTGTGTGGATCACCTGGCAACAGTGACCTGTCACAACATTGTGTGGATCACCTGGCAACAGTGACCTGTCACATCACACGATGCTGTATTTCTTGTCAAAGTGGCATATCTGTTCTCAATTCAATGTATGTTTACATAGAATGTCAGTTATATTGAATAGTTATTTGCTTATTCCATAGACCAGGTTTAGTGTAGAATATACTACTAATATGAGTCTATTCGGGGACCAATGTCACAATACCAAGTCACCCAGCGATACTAACTAATCCATCACTGAATGGAAGAGTAAAGCTCTGTTATGAACCCTACACTCATCTGATTATTGGAAAGGCACAAAAAGTCAAGCAACATGTTGTCAAACTCATGAATGCTGAATGCTAAATGCAGCAGCTTAGTACATGCCTGATGTGTTCATAGCTTTGAAGAAATATTTAACAGCTTATGAGTTATGAACCCTTCTCTCAACTGAATTAAAATCCATCTTCTTGCCCTAAAAGTTAAAAATAAAGACTGTCCAAACATCTTGAATAGCAAACGGCACTTGTTCAATGCTGTCTGGTGTGTATGCAAAGGTTCACAAAGACCTATTGAACAGTTTACAAATTACACCCTGGAAACAAGCCTTACATTCAAGCAGACCTTGGCATAAAAATATAATCCAGAATAGCAAAGGCATCAGCCCAATGCATGCCTTATGTGTATAGTTTCATGATAAAATATGTAATGGAGTTGTAACATGTAATGAACTCGACTCTCTTGACCCTAAATCCAGTATATACATGGAAACCAGAGAACAATGTTATGACAGTTGTCCTTGTTTCACTTGTTATGTTCCATGTGTCAGCACACCACTGCTGTCTTCATAGTATGTCAAAGGAGGGTATACATGTGTTAGCACCTTTCATATCACCATAATATAGTACCAGAAGACACTAAATGTGTCGACACAGACGGGACTACAGGTGGATGTACAGGTGTGAACACACACCCGCAGTTGCCACAGGTGTCTGCATGTGTTATAAGTGATGAAGCTGCCTTACCCGAGGACCGTAGTCCAAGTTTTATACCACAAGACATAGAATACACACCACTTCAGTGAGACTCCTCCCATGTGACCATTTTGATGAACAAATCCCCAGTTACTTTTGGAGACAAATCCATGCATGGTGCTTATATGAGCCAAGTATGTTTGAGTTCCAAGCAAGAACCGGTAGTTTGATCGTGGGGTTTCAGAAGTTGTAATCACATTTTTGTTGCACATTACACATGATAGATGGACAAAGACAGCAGTTTACTTTGGCACAGAAAGTTGTTACAGAATTTATCATGGTGTGCTTTGTTGAAATACTGTGCGCATTCTGTTGTCTCCACTTCTGTCTAGACCATTACAAACTTGGTATGCACTGTGATCAGTTTGTATTTGTTATTAATAAATATTACATAAAACATGAACTCCATAATGTTTGTGTTATTTAAGTATACACTATTTGCAACTTAATGTCAGAAAAGTACCAGCAGCTTACGGGCCTCTTTAACTTTCATCATTTTTCTCAACAGGATTCGGGAACTATCAGTATTTTCTTTCAGGATTCAAGAACAGTCTTCATTATCTATGCAGGTTTCAGGACCTCTCATTATCTTTGAATAACACAAAGACTCATCAGGTTCCCGAAAGGACATGGGAATTGATGTCATTATCTTTAGCTGATTCAGGAGTTATCTTAACAGGACTCGTTTATAGTCCAACTGCCTTTTAGAAAGTTCTGTACCAAACTGTTCCTTGAAGATCCCAGAGACTAAAAGCTTAAAAATACAGCAACGTACACACCACTTCTTACATTAAATGGTAATACATTCCTGACAATCGATAAAAACTCAATTATTCTTAAATTCCAAAGTTTCTTTAAACACTTCTTTTATATTCAATCCAAACAATGAAAGAGTATCAGAAACTAAACATTAACTTTACAGTGGCTAAACGATGAATGGATAGTAACTGGACAAGCTGAAAAACCATATGTCCTCCAAGCCCACAACACACAATCCTATAACACTCTTCAAGACTTAGAAACACGTCTTACTTCTTTTATTTCTGTGGTAACCAGGAATTGGAATCCCATACATTCAGAAAGAATAAGCAGACTTATTTTGTTCCAATATAAGGTTTACTGTGAACTTCAGTACAGCATCACCATCACATCAACACATAGCCCCACTGTGTGTATTTCCGGGGAGATGTCAACGCGTGGTATGCGGTCAACTTGGGAACTAGCTAGTTGACGAAGACGAAGGCATAATTGTGATCAAACTTCTTTAGTTACATGACAAACAAATACACAAGACATAAATGAGGTGAGCGGAGTACCTGCTCAACTCCAGGTACCTTATTCTCGAAACGTTCGTAGACCCAGGAATTCTTAACTTTGATCGTAGACATTGTGTTAAGACTGACTGAGTTTTAGTTTTACGCCGCTTTTAGCAATATTCCAGCAATATCACGGCGGGGGACACCAGAAATGGGCTTAACACATTGTGCCCATGTGGGGAATCGAACCCGGGTCTTCGGCGTGACGAGCCAACGCTTTAACCACTAGGCTACCCCACCGCCCCATATTGTGTTAAGAATGGGCTTAAGAAGTTCGTACGGACTCGTACCCTTTGACAATGTATATGTTAGCATATATATATATAAAGAGAGTTTCTGACAACAATGAACAGGCGACGACTCAACAATGGACAGATAGAAAAACAATAGCACTTCCTTGACCAGTTGATGTGATGACAGACACGACCAAGGGGGATGACCAATTAAGGCAATAAACTTCATATACGATAAATAATGACAGTGACAGAGTGGTACAGAGTGGCTGACAAGTTCATGTACACTGCGGTAGTGATAAGGATTAAGATTTCAGATTGAATAATTACAATTAAGTCTCACATGGCTTGGCTACACAGTTTTGGGTCTTTAGAAATATTTGGACGATGGCTGTCCTGAATTAGATACTTATAACTGAGGTCTCGTAATGGCACATTGCATAGGTACCATTAATTCATAGCGATGACTTGTGAGGTTACAACACTCCTCTTTCATTGAAAAGAACAACAAGCAGAAGCGTTAAGCTGAAACTACAACAAATCAGCAAGAAATCTTGCACCCCTACATGATTGGATTTAGGTTTGAATCCAACCTTTCCAACCACATGAAAAAGAATGGAAAAGAGGGGTAGTCCGAGATCAAGCTCATATACGATCATACGAAGTTGAAACAGAAGATCTAAGACTGAACCGCCGACATCTTAGAATCACTCCAGATGTACCCTCTAGTGACAACACAGCTGATCCAGGTCATGCCGACCTAGGTTACATTGGCCTTTCCGACCAATTGTCACCTTAACCCGCGGATACAGCTAAAACCAATCCTCAGCAGACAACCACTGAGAGCGGAAGAGTATCCACGCCTCTCAGCTACCTGAAGGATTATGTGAAATGAACTGAATTTGTAAAGTTTCAAATTTGACGAGTTTTAAACTTTTATTCAAAGACAGCACATGTAGGTCACATTATCTGTCACATGACCAATGCTCAGTCTGATTACGTCACTACAAAGAAATGTATGACGACACTGTACCACGTCACTTGCCAGTCAGTGAACACAGTGAATCTACAGTTAACTGTTCTAGGATAAGCGCCTTGAATAATAGCATTTAAGAAGCAGTAGGTATAGTGGGTGAGAGAGTACAGTGTGTAAGTGAGTAAACGAGTGAGCGAGTGAGGTTTTACACCGCTTTTAAGGTACACCTACAGAATACCCCGAACAAACACAGACACAGACACAGACACAGACACACACCTACCAGCCATATTGTTTAGTGTCACATGCACTTCCTATTATACGGAAGCATGAGCTATAAAATTCTGAAAAAATAAGCATCTAAATAGAAATTAACCATTAAAATCAGATTATTTGTCATGACTTCCGGTCAGTACAACTAACCATTGATTTTGAAAATGAAAGGTAAGTTATCAAAAATATTAAAAAACATATGAGTCTTTGAAAACACGGAGCTACGGAATTATGAAAGTTGGAGCGAGTGAGTGTGGGAAAGTTCTGACAGAAAAGTGCTCAGTGACTGGTCAATTTTTGTCTACGTCAAAGCTTAGTAACAGTAACCATAATTGGAAGTTTACCACTACTATTCAGCATTCAGAATATGCGATTGTGGGATGATGTTAAGTTATCGAAAGACAAAGAACTACTTTATCTATGTTTAAAAGAAGGGACTTCTCGGAAACTGGGACGGGAAAACATGCGGTAAATTTTGTATTGGTAAATTCTATTTATGTAAAAATAACAGCTACAGTAAAGATAATTTGTGTTGGAAATGAAACAAGAAATCGTGCGGCAAAAAACTTTCCATTCCCCACAATTCGTGGTTTGAGAACAGTAAACTCGATTGTGACAAAATTCTATTTCTGACATATTGTTGGACCTCGAAGCTATCTCAAGATTTTGTACGCCGGGAACTTGACATTTCGTCTTGCAACACTTCTGTGGACTTCTGCCGCGAAGACTTAATTGTTATAGTCGATTCTGACAGTGCTATAGGATCAGTGGGGTGGGAACAGTAGTTGAGATTGAGGAATCGAAGTTTGGAAAAAGAAAATGTAATCAGGGGTAAAGGGTTGTGGGTCAGTGGATTTTAGGGGGAATCGTTCGGGAATCGAAAGCCTGTTTTGCAAGGACAAGGATGACTCGGAGACACTTATTCTGGTCATAAAGAAACATATTAAACCAGGCACCACAATCATAAGCGATTGCTGGAAAGCCTATGCCTGTTTGAAACACGA